TATCTCAGCTTTTATCATTGTTATTATAAATGCACATAAATCAAGAGCTGAAAGAGTATTAGAAATAGAAATCAAAAGATGGAAGTTCTGAAAAAATAATTGTGTCTTTTAACTCAGTTAAATATTTTACTCTTTATGTGGTAAGCTCCAGGCTCATACAATTTTTGATTGCTTTTAAAAAAATTATAAAGTTGATATACAGAGGGGTTACAGTTACATAAGTCAGGTAAAGAGTGAATTTCTTTTTGGACAATGTCACCCTTTCCTTTACACTCTCTCAGTTTTTCCCTCCCATCCCCTCAAACAAGTTGTATATTTCATTTTCAACAGTGTCTAGAGAGTATAGATTGCCTTTAAGATACTCATTATGGTTTGAAATGTTCATGTCCCTTGATATATCTTAGATAAAACTCAATTTTTAATGTTCATCTCACAGGTTTTGGTTTTAGAGGTAATTCACCAATCTTTTCTTGACATGGACTTCCTAGGAATGCAAAAATGTCATACCATCTTCATATTCCCAATATTCACAGCACATCCACCAAAATATATAACATGAGCTTCCTAAAAGATTTTTTTGGCCTGTACTAGTTAGTATCAATCAATTAAAGATCCATAACATTTTGTGTGTTCAAAACCTGACTTTGACCAGGCTCTGAAAGCTCATGCCCATAATTCTAGCTGTGTGGGAGGCTCAGAATAGTAGGATTGTGGTTCAAGACCTTCATGGAAAAAAAACTTTATGAGATCTTTTTCTAACAATAGCTGGGTTCAGTAGTATGTACCTGTCATCCCAAACTGAATTTCAGTTTCAGAGAGGTTTCTAGTTTTAGGCCTGAGTCTGAATGATTATAGCAGAGGACTGTTGGATGAGGTGGTGCCTTTTTTTTAGCTATGAGAAGAAGCAAAAATGGGCATATCATATTCTAGTACAAGCTAGTCAGAAAGGAAGACCCTATGTCAAAAAATCCCAATACATAATGAGGTCATTGGCATGGTTTCAGTGGTAGAATACCTGCCTAGCAAGAGTGAGCCTCTGAGTTCAACCACAGTACCTCACAACCAACCCCCTCAATAAACACCTAGATTTTTACTGTGGTCATTAAAAAAACTGTGAAACATTTTAGATATACATGAAAGTAAAAGACAACTTTTATCACTTCAAATTCAGAATTTTTGTAATCACAAATGAATATCTTAGCCAGTTGATAGAACCAAATTTGATATTGCTGGAAAATTTAAAAAATGATTAAGAAAATATAATAGGGAGAATAATTTTCTTTTTTTATTGTAATGATGATGTACAGAGGAGTTACTGTTACATCTGTAAGGTATGTAACAGTACGTGAGCACATTTCTTTTGAACAGTGTTACTCCTTTCTTATTTCCTCTTGCTTCCCCCATTCGACTCCCTCCCCATTTTGTAGTTTATTTCCAACATAGCATCTAGTGAGTATCACTGTTGCATTGGTTCACCCTTTGTCCTGCCATTTCTGTGATTCCCTCTCCCTTTCACAAATCAGATAAACTTATATACAAGACAAAGGGCACAGAAATAAAAAAAACAGTGACAACAGGGCATAAACCAAAGGAGAAAAAGAAAGAAAAAAGAAATAAATGCAAACAGTACATATAAAAACCTCTTGTTTCCATGTCTTTTAGTTCATTTTGATAAGCTTCATTGTATGTTGTCATATGCACCTAGCTATTGAACTATTGTGATCTTCTGCTAAGAATATCATAGATATATTCTAGTTATTACAAATGAGGGACACCCTACAGTTTGTGTTTCTTTGAGCCTGGCTTGCTTTGCTTAATAGTTTTTTCCAAGTCTTTCAAATTCCTTACAAATGGGGAAATGTTATTCTTTCTGTTGGAAGCATAGAATTCCATTGTGTATATATAACACATTTTCTTGATCCATTCATCTACTGAGGGGCATATGGTTTGGTTCCATATCTTAGCTATGATAAATAATGCTGCAGTGAACATGGTTATTGGTAGCTTTAGTGTGGTCTTATTTGTGGTCAATTAGGTAAATGCCCAGAAGTGGGATTGCTGAGTCATAGGGGAGCTCTATGTTTAGTTTTTTGAGGAATTTACATACTGCTTTCCACAGTGGTTAAACAAGTTTATATTCCAACTAACAGTGTAGTGGCATTCCCCTTTGGCCACATCCCCACCAGCATCCATTATTATTAGTTTTCTTGACAGTTAAACTTCAGAACTTCTGTGTGGTAAAAGACATAGCTAGCAAGATAAGTAGAAAGCCCACAGATGGGGAGAAGATCCTTACTGGGTATAAAACAGACAGGGTGGGGCAGGAAGGATGGGAAAAGATGGGAAAGGAAACAAAGGAGGAGTCTAAAATGCTTGATAAGAAATGTACTCATTATCTTGCCCATGTAATTGTAAACCCTCTGTACAGTATTTTCACAATAAAAAAATGACAAAAAAACCAGATAGTGCCTCCTTTCTAAAATTCACTTAAGAGCTCAAAAGATTAAACCTCCCATAAACAAATCCTCAAAGAAAGAACAACCCCACTGATAAATGGGCTAAAGACTTAAAAAGCACTTCTCTGAGGAAGAAATAAAAAATGACCAATAGACATATGAAGAAATGCTCAACATCTCTGGCCATAAAAGAAATGCAAATCAAAACAATATTGAAATTCCACCTCACCCCTGTTAGAATAGCCATTATTGGGAAAATTGTTTTTCAGGTATATTTCTTGGGGGAGAAGCATTGATATTTTGCATTTTTCATAGTTAATGAAAGGATGGAAGCATTGAATTTTACCTTTTAATTTCCTTTAGAAGCGTATTTGTCAAAGGCAGAAATTTTCAAGGGAAAAAATGACACGACTCTGGCAATTCTAAACTACACCCAGGCAATCAAATGCAAACCCACAGATGCTGAGATATACTTCAGAAGGGGTGCAGTATATGAAAAGACAAATAGAATGCTGGCCATGGATGACTATTCCAAAGTAAGTGCTAGCACAGGAAATGCTGCCATTGATGAATTTGTTCTTAAAAGCATTTTCATATATTTTATTTAATAAAAATTCATTTTAGGTTGGGATCTAGAACTTCACTGTGAGTATTGATATTAACATGGCTTCAATGATATTTAAAAAATGATTGTTGAGTAAATGGCTTCATGTCAGAGCATGAGGGACACTGAAGTAATTTGTGGGATGAGGAGAGGACCTGACTTTTTCTTTTCTCTCCTCTTGAACTAGAAAATTGTGATTCAAGAAGTGGCTCATGCCTATAATCCTAGTTATTCAGGAGACTGAGATCTGAGGATTGTGTTTTGAAGTCAGCCTGGGCAGGAAAATCTGAGACTCTTATCTCCAATTAGCCAGCAAAAAACTCTGAAAATGGAGCTGTGGCTGAAGTGGCAGTCCATCATCCTTGAATGGAAAAGCTATAGGATAGTGTCCAGGCCCTGAGGCCAAACCCCAGTACCGTTGTGTGTGTATACAGACATAGACGCAGAAAAAAGAGAAGCCTTTGAAAATTGCTTCTTTCCTTCAGACAACCGAGAAATTAATTTCTACCTTGAAACTCTTGACTAGATGATGCTGTCTTTGAGGAACCTTCTTTAATTTATTCACTCATTCATTCATTCAATCACAAATTTTATTGACCAAAGTAGTACATAGAGTGGATTAGAAATGATGAATGAATACACTATGTTGAGCTCATTGTTTAAAGATCAAATACTTGGGGCTGGGAAGTGGCTCAGTGGTAGAGGGCTTGTCTTGCATGCCTGAGGCCCTGGGTTCAATTTCTCAGCACCACATAAGCAAAAAGAAGAAAGCCAGAAGTGGTGCTGTGGCTCAAGTGGTTGAGTGCTAGCCTTGAGCTGAAGAGCTGAGGAACAGTGCCCAGGCCCAGAGTTCAGGCCCCATGACCGGACCCCCCCCTCCAAAAAAAAACCCCAAAAGATCAAATACTTAAGGGCAGATACAAAACATATATACATATAATTATAATGGTGTTGGGAAGGAAATAAAAATACTGAAAGTGTTTATATCTGTGGTATCAAGAAATGTCATTAAGTAAGATAACTTGTAGTTAGAGTATAATAAGAGGCTAGAGACAAGGCAAAATATTCCCCAAATGTGGCAGAACATGTTAACTCTGCTCTCCTGATGTGTGCTAGGATGGAGCCTGTCCTTGTGCATGCTGGACAAGTGCTCTTTCCCTGTAGCCATGCCACAGTTCTGACTTTTATCCAGAAATGAGAATTTAGGAACAATCATTTAATTAATTAACTTTCCATGTTCCTAGCTGCCCTGTCATCCTAATCCATCCATTATGGCTTAGCTACTGAGTTGATATTGTTACAAGCCTTGTAATTTCTGCCTGACACCCATAGTGGAAAAAATGGACAAGGTGAAACAAATTTCAAACTCTGTAGTCTTTTTTTTTGTATGTTTTAAATTATGCCAGTCCCAATTAGCAAGAAACTTTACAAATGAACATAGGATGTGGCCTGTTCACTGTATGGCTCTGTATGTCAGCATCAAATGGATGAATTGTGTCACCACCAATTCATTTCTTTTACTTATGAATGAAATCCTTGGCTTCTTGTGCCTATAATCCAAGCTGTTCAGGAGGCTGAGATCTCAGGGCTATGGTTTGAAGCCAGTCTGGGCAGAAAAGTCTGTGATACTCTTATTTCCACTTAAGACTTGGAAGTAGAGCTGTGGCTTATGTGGTAGAACACCAAAAGCAAGATCATGAGGCCCCGAGTTCAAGCCCCTTTACACACACACACACACACACACACACACACACACACACACAGAGTAACTACAACAAAATTTGATGATGAATAGATTTTTAAATAAGATCCTTTAAACAAAATTTGGAATCTTAACGTGGTTTGCTTGTTTGTAATTTGAAGTTACTATGTGATTATGTGCTTTTCATAGGGTGCTTTCATTCCTTGACCTGTGTATCTACCTCCCTGCACCCCTGTAGTGTATTGCTTGTGATCCTAAAAGAACCGATGCGTTATTGAAACGGGGGCTGTTTCACTTTGAAAATGAGAACTGGACATCAGCTATACAGGATTTTACATCTTTGTTAAATATAAATCACCTCAATGCACAAGCAAGGTAAGAAGGATTTTAAAAGTGTTTTAAAAATGCTTTTATTTGAAATGCATTTTCAGGAAAGAAGATTGTTTGAAATACATTTAACGGCCTTTTAAAAATAATGAATTCCTTTTTAGAGATACCTGTGAATGAAAATCTGTACTCATACTGTAATGGGAGTAGGTGGTTTAACAAACGTAAATAATAATTAAGAGTTATTTAATTTTCATTTCCTAAATTCTGGCTATCGTATACACGTGTAACACATAGTCTACCATCTATAGTTTTTCTTTAAGTTTCTTTTACATACATACCTTTTGTATCCATTGATTATGAAGAACTGTTCACATATGTTTCTGTAACACCTTTCTCTGACTTGTATATTGAATTTATACTTCCAGTAAATGTCATGCTTTGTGGTTTTCCTTCCAATCTAAGGTTTATTTTAGAGATTTAAAATGTTAGGCCTACTCATCTTTTCACTTGTGACTTTTATTTTGGTAGAGGCTTGAATTCAGAGTCTGGGCACTGTTACTAAGTTTTTGTGCTCGAGGCTAGCATTCTACTACTAGAGACACATCTCTCCTTCTGGTGCTTTTTATATTTTGTTGATAATTAATTGGAGACAAGAGATTCATGGACATTACTGCCTGGGGTGACTTTGAACTGAGATCCTTGAATCTCAGCCTCTTGAGTAGCTAGGATGAAAGGTGTGAGCTACTCTTTCCCAGTTCACTTTTAACTTTTTTTTTCTTTTTGCCAGAGCTGGGGCTTGAACTCAGGGCTTGGGCACTGTCATTGAAATTCTTGTGCTCAAGGCTATTACTCTACCACTTGTGCCACAGCACCACTTCTGGCTTCTTTTTGCTTGTTTGTTTTGTTTATGTGTTACTGTGGAATCGAACTCAGGGCTTCATGAGTGTTAGGCAAGCACTCTATCACTAAGCCACATTCCCAGCTCATCACTTGTAACTTTTTGAGACCAAGTTTCACTATGTAGCCCTGATTGGTATCCAATTCAGGAATTTTTTGACAGTTCTGGCCTTTGATTTGATTAAGGCCTTGTACTTGCTAGGCAAGCACAGTAACACTTGAGCCATGTTCTCAGCCTTGTAATCCCAACTACTTGAGGGGCAGAGACTGGAGGGTTGGGAATTCCAGACCAACCTGGTGTGGAGGAGAGTTAGCAAATCTTCTCAGAGAAACTAACTAAAAACAAAATGTCTGAGAGGCACAGATGGGATCTCACTTTTGCCAATGCCAGTCTTAGCCCACAATTCTCCTACTTCTGTTTCCTGATTAGCTGAAGATGCAGGTGTGAACCACAATGTGCAACTTGTTTTTGGAAATAGGATCTTACTAACTCATGCCTGGGTTAGCTTCAAACTACCACACTCCTATCTCCACTTCCACAGTAGCTGAGAATTCTGATGTATACCACCCTTGACCCTCTATCTACAAGTTTTAATTGCAAACTATTTTTATAGTAAAGATAATGCGTGCAATTAGGAAACTACACAATTTGGAAAAGGGAAATCTAATCTTACTACCATATAACTGTAACTGTCAACTAACTTTTCCAGCAGTCTAGAACTCTTGTATGTGCATCCCCTGAAAGGGGAGGTGGTGGTCAATGTTATCTTTACATTTTGGTCACTCCCTTGTAGTTCTTTATGGTTATAGTACAGTGTCTCTACACATTGTTAGTTTAGGTATGCCCATGTTTTGAACTTTATATATATGGAATCACACAGTATTATCTCATGTATGGCTTTTGCTCTATATTGTGCACTATGGCATGTGGTTTTAGTTTCCATATGTTAGAATTTACTCCTGCTATGTATGGATGTTTGAGTGTTTTCAATTTTCCATTAGGCATATTGTTTCTTGGATATCTTTCTACACATTTATGTGGGTGCAAAGTATCAGGTTCATAGTGCATGCAAGTATGCAGTGTTGAGACCCAGCTGATTTCCAGAGTGGTTGTATTACTAGCTGTTTATGTGAGTTCTGCACAAGCATTAAGTATTGCTAGCTGGCTTTCAGGTTTTAGCCATCTTCACAGGCATGGAAGTGTGATCCTACTAGATTTTCCTTTCCATTTTCTTCATTCCTAACAGGATTATGTGTCTTCCTATAAATCAATTAACCATTTAAGTTTTCTTTCTTTTGTCATTCTAATCTCTTGGAGTTTTTGTATGTATGTATGTATGTATGTATGTATGCATGTATGCATGTATGTATGTATGTATTGTTTTGCTATTAATTTGTAAGCTCATATTATCTCTCTCTCTTTCTCTCTCTCTCTGTTCTAGAGCTTGAACTTAGGATTTTCTGCTTACTAGTGAAGGGTTCTACTATTTGAGGCCCACTCTCAGTCATATTGCTTTTGGTTGTGTTTTTCAGGGAAGGTATCTATCCCCCACCCTCAACCCTTCTGTGTCTGCCTCTGAAGTAGCTGGAATTACAGGCATATGTCATCATGCCAAGTCCCAAATTCGGGTCTATTGTCGATATGAACACTTTAGTCATCATTGTTATGACAAATAGCTTTTCCTATTCTTCAGACCCTTATCTCCAATTAACCACCAAAAAGTTGGACATGGAGATGTGGCTCAAGTGGTAGAACACCAGATTTGGGTAAAAAAGCTAAGAACAACATTCGAGCCCTGAGTTCAAATCCCAGTGCCAGCACTGCCAAAAAATTGTTTCAAATTTTAGTCAGTCTAATAAATCAGAACTCTTTTATACATCAATTTGAATTTCATTGACTTAGTATTTTTTCCTTCTTGGTCTTGTCTCTACAAATTTTAATTTTCATATCATCAATTTATATGTACACTTTATTCATACATTTGTCCAGGCTCACTAAAATGTGTGTTTGTTATATATTTTAAACATAATTTACATTCATTTTTAATTTTTAGATTATATTTATGGTACTATATGACATTATAGCAATTCATTGGATGGGTAAAAATCAAACTAATTCACACAACCATCTCATTCTTATTTCTCAGTGGTGAGACTATTTAAGCTATATTCTTTTGGTAACTAGGACATATATAATGCATAGTTGTATTGTGTATTTTACAGGTGATGTAAAAGATCACTAAACACTTATTTTTTTCTGTCTGACTGAAACCCTTGCTCTTGGGCGTCTTCCCTTTCCATCATGCGGCCACACCAGTCTCTAGCAGCTCTACTTCCGTGAATTGGACTTTTTAGATCCCAGGTGTCAGTGCAGTCATGCGGTGCTGGCCTCTCAGGGCTTGGCTTTTGTCACTGAGCATAGCATCTGCCAGTTTCATCCAGGCTGCATGCTGTCACAAGTGACAGCCTTTCTTTCTTTGGTAAGCTTCAGTTGAGCATTCCATTGTGTATCTATGACACAAACTGCGAGACAATATTTACAGATCCTACATCTCTTAAGGGGCTAATATCCAAAATATATAAGGAACTTAAACAACTCAACAGTAAGAAAACATATTAAGCTGACTTAAAAAATGGGCACAGGACCTAAATACATATTTCTCAATTGACGACATACAAATGGCCTAGAGACATATGAAAAAAAATCTCTATTTCACAAATAGTCATGGAAATGCAAATTAAAACTACATTGGTATGTCATCTCACACTGTTTTGATATTAGAATGGCTGTTATTAAAATAAGAAAGATGATTATTAAGGAGGAAGTGGGGAATGTTTATATTTAAATATAAAGACTTAAACATGTTAATCCAGCTAAATTTGTGATACTTCTTCTTTTGAGTTTAGAAAACCAATCTCCATTTTGAGATCAGATTAATATTTCCCTTTAAAGATACATAGAGTTGTTTGAAAGTTTAATATTTTTAATTTCAAATTTTAATCCATAAGACTTTCTTTTGATGTGTATTACAAAATAGGATGACTTTTCCCAGATAGAGAACCTCTGACAATCTCAGCACTGGGGGTAAGTCCCAGTGATTAAAAAAAAACAAGCGTGGCATTTTCTTTTATGAAACAGATTTTTTTCATGATATTTTATAGATTTTTATTGCAGGTATTTATGAAAGTGATCCTTTTTTCCTAATATGGAGGTTTTAGTCAGCTTTTTTTTTTTTTTTTACTGACTCTTTTTTCATGATATTTTATAGATTTTTATTGCAGGTATTTATGAAAGTGATCCTTTTTTCCTAATATGGAGGTTTTAGTCAGCTTTTTTTTTTTTTTTTACTGACTCTGTTTTTTTTTGGTCGGTTGTGGGGCCTGAACTCTGGGCCTGGGTGCTCTCCTTCAGCTCTTCAGCTGAAGGCTAGCGCTCTACCACGTGAGCCATAGAACCACTTCTGAGTTTTTCTGCTTATGTGGTGCTGTGAAATGGAACCCAGGGCCTCATGATTGCAAGACAAGCACTCTACCACTGAGCCACCTTCCCATCCCCCTACTGACTCTTTTTGAGATGGAATCTTGTGGACTTTTCTGTCCTGGCTGGCCTTGCACTCTGATCTTCTAAATCTCAGCCTCTCCTGAGTAGGTAGGATTACAGGTAGAGTGACAGTTGCTGGTCTATTACAGTCTATTTCTCTTTGAGTAATTCTTGGCAGTGTATGTTTCTCAGAAGTTGTTGATTTTGTTTAGATTATTGTCTTAGTCCTTTTTTTTTTTTTTTTTTTGGGTCCGGTTGTGGGGCCTGAACTCTGGGCCTGGGCGCTGTCCCTCAGCTCTTCAGTTCAAGGATAGCGCTCTACCGCTTGAGCCACAACGCCACTTCCGGCTTTTTTCTTTTTGCTTATGTGGTGCTGAGGAATCGAACCCCAGGGCCTCAGGCTTGTAAGGCAAGCGCTCTACCACTGAGCCACCTTCCCAGCCCCTGTCTTAGTCCTTTTTGTACTGCTGTAACAGAATATCCGAAACTGAGAATTTATAATTATAAAATGTTCTTTTTTTTCTGGTTGTGGGGCCTGAACTCTGGGCCTGCACACTGTCCCTCAGCTCTTCAGCTCAAGGCTAGTGCTCTACCACTTGAGCCTCAGTTCCACTTCTGGCTTTTTTCTGCTTATGTGGTGCTGAGGAATCGAACCCAGGGCCTCATGCAAAGCAAGCACTCTACCACTGAGCCACCTTCTCAGACCCAAAATATTCTGAGCATTATAATTCTAGAGACTGACAAATCCCTAAATCTAGGTATCACTATCTGTGGAGAGTCTTCTTGCTACATTATTCCAGGGTGAGAAGCATCCTATATATAGCAGAGGGAAAATGTGAGAAATGTTCTATTTTAATGGCATCAATCCCAACCATGAATGTGGAGTCTTTATGTTTTAATCACTTACAGACCCACCTCTTTTTAAAAAAATTATTGTAAAGGTGCTGTACAGAGGGGTTACAGTTATATGAGTAAGGCTGTGAGTACATTACTTGTTGAGCATTGTTACCCCCTTCTTTGTTTTTCTCCTACTATCCCTTCCCACCCCTACCTCCCCTGCTCACCCCCATTGATGTTGTAAAGTTCATTTCCAGAATAATGTCTTGTGAGCATCATTGTTGCAATGGGTCATCCTGTGTCCTTATTTCAGCATTTGCAGACCTACCTCTTAATATTGTGAAAATATCAATTAAATGTTAACATGAATTATTTTGTAAGATATTGGAATCCTGTGGTTTGAATTATCTATGCATTAACATAATTGTATTATTCATGTAAATAAGCATACATATACATACTATATAATGAGTTATAATTATGTGATTTATACATTTATGCCTATTAATATAATAACTGTATTATTTGTGCTTGTATTGAACCACATAGGAAAAAAGAATTGAAAACAAAAAAATGTAATAATGTTTTTAATTTGCTTGTTTGTTACCTTTATAGATGGCCCTTTTATATTTCTTTATATGGTCTCGAGCTACTTTTCTAATGCCTTCTATTTCAGCTTCAGATATTCATTTTAGTATTTCTTATAAAGCAGTTCTACTATCAGTGTTACTCTAGTTTTTGTTCTCTTAAGAATGCTTTGATTTCTCCTTCAATTTTGAAAGACAGTTTTCTAGGTACAGAATTCTTGGCTGATGATTTTTCTTCTGTTAGCACATTAAATATGCTGCTCACTACATTTGGCACCCTTGACTACATCTAGGATAATCTTAGCAGATGGGAAGAATATCTCAGTAGGTATGTACAAATGACCCATATAAGATGATGCTAAGCAAAATGAACTTCAAGACATGGACACAAGAGGTTTTTCTTTGTTGTTGTTCTCAATGTACTACATGATTTCTTTTTCTTTTGTGTTTTCGCCCCCTATGGTTTATTCCTGTTGTCATTGCATTCTATTTTGGTACCCTGTGTATTGTATATATGTTTATCTGAACTAAAGAAGGGAAAGGAACAACAAAATGGGTGAGACAAAGGACAAAGGAGAACCTATGCAACAGTGATACTCACATGACAGTATGTTGGAAATGGTCTGTAGAACTTGGGGTGGGGATTGAGAGGGAGGAAAGGGAGAAAAATGAGGGAAGGGGTAACAAGTAAGACAAGAAATGTAATCACTACCTTACTTATGTAACTGTAACCCCTCTGTACATCACCTTGACAATAAAATTTAAAAATGTAATTTTTTGAAAATCCTATACATAATGAATAATTTCTCTTTTGTTGCTTTTGTATCTTGGCTTTTAGTAGATTAATTATAATGCATCTCTTTTTTGTGGAACTTTTTTGAAATTGTCTTACTTGGAATCTTTTAAGTGTCTTGGATGTGTAGCTTCATTTCTTTCATTAAATTTAGGCAGTTTTCACTCATCGTTTAAAAAGTACTATTTTCTTTTCTCTCTATTTACCCTTCACCAGGATTCACAATATATATGTTAATAAGCTTGATGATATTCTATATTCTGTGGCTATGTTAGTCTGTATTTATTTGTTTTTCACTTTTTTCTTTTCAATTAGATAATTTCAATTGGCATGTCTTCAAGATCCCTAGATCTTTATTATTTTCTGTTCAAATCTTGTTGCAACTCTAGTGAACTTTTGGTGATTATAATTTTCAACTTCATGATTTCTCTTTCCATTTTATAGCTTCTGTATTATTTAGTATCAATTTATCAAGCACTATAATTATTTTCTATGTGTTAAGTGATAAATTTTCTAGTATCTTTGAGATTTTTGTCTAGTGCGTTCTTTTAGATTTTTGAGAATATTTAAGATAGCTTATGTAAAGACTGTAATCTAGTTAGTCCAATGTTTAAGATTCCTCAGGGGGAGGGGCTAGTTTCTATTAATTTCATTGTAAGAATGAGCCCTATGTTTGTGTTTCTTTGTATTAATTGTTATTTTTTAAAGTAGATATTTTGATTAGTATAGTAATGTAGCATTTGGATATTGATGCACCCCACTTCCCAGAATTTAGTTTTATATATATATATATATATATGTATATATATAGTTTTATATAATACAGTTTTAGTTATAGATAATTCTTTAGTTACTTTTCTGAGCTAATTTTGAGAAACCTGTTCTTTGTTATGCATGGTCACTCAAGTCCCTGTTCTGTTAGCTTAGTTGTCAATAAATGATGTGACTGAGATTTATTGGCCATCTAAACTTATTCTCTAGAGAATTATCAGTTCCTTTGCCATTTATTAGTTGGTTTGTTTGATTCTTTGATAGATTAGCGTTTTGAGCTTCTTGTATATTCCAGTCATACAAAAACAAAAACAAAGTACTGGATGGAGGTATTACAATACTAGGCTACCAGACTTAAGGTGTATAGCCTGCAAAGACTTTTTTTTCATTCTGGAGACTCTCCATTCTAGTGATAGTTCTTTTGCTTTGCAGAAGCTTTTCAGTTTGATGCAATTCCATTTGTCAGTCTTTGCTCTTACTTGCTGAGCTAGTGGAGTCCTATTTAGGAGGCTCCTGCCTATGCTAGTATTGTTCTAGTGTTTTCTTTATGATTACTATAGTGGTTTCAAAGTTTCAGGTCTCACATTAAGATCTTTGATCCACTTTGAACTGACATTGATATTAGCACATGATGAGGGACAGAGATTTATTTTCAGACTTTTGCTTGTGGTTATCTAGTTTTTCCAGCAGCATTTTTTGAAGAGGTTGTGTTTTCGCTAACAGACATGCCCATTTTGCACTCCATTGTTAAATTAGATGGCCATAGCTGTGTGGATTTATTTCTGTGCCTTTTATTTTGTTCCAGTGGTCTGCTTTTGTGTCAGTACTATGGCTCTATAGAATAACTTGAAATCTGGTAGTCTCATGGATCAGACCTCAAACATTTTGTTTTTGTTTTTCTCAAGGTTGCTTTGGCTTTCCAGGGTCCTTTGTATTTCTATTTGAATTTATGGATTGATTTTTTCTCTTTCTGTTAATAACATTGTTGGGAATTCTATAGGGATTGTGTTTGATCTGTAGATTGCTTTTGGTAGTATAGCCATTTTTACATCATTGATTTTTACTTCTGTAATTTCCTTCTTTAAAATTTTATAGTTTTCATTGTAGAGCTTTTGACATGAATTGACATATTGAGTTTATCTTTGTACAACTAAAGATAGTAATGAGTAAATGGGTGAATATATATAATGAAAAGAGGCAATATTTTAAAAAAATACATGTTAAAGTCAATTTTTTTTTCTAGGACATACCGGGGGAGAGCATATTTTAAAAGGCAGCTTTATAGACTAGCAGCCCAAGACTTATCTGCTGCTATCCACTTAGATCCCAATAATTGGTTAGCATTTTATTATCGAGCTTGCTTGTTTAGAACGACTAATATTTCCAGAGCCCTGCAGGACTACAGCATTTCAGGTATTTTTTCTTTAACTATACATGTATAAGAATCTAATCTGGTTCAGAAGCTCAGTATCCTAGAAGGTAGTCCTGTTTGATCACTAATGTAATAAATGTATTATATGTATATTTGCATATATATATATAGTATATCCATGTACATTTATAAGTAACAATGGCTGATCTACAGGCATTCTAACATGCCTTTTTACTAAATGTGAATATGGATTTGGGTACATTTGGGTATATGTGTGTGTTCAGTTATGGCCAGGAGAGACTATCATATCAAATAGAGTACGTATCTATAAATTGAGTTCTAGAGAGCTATTTTGAAATCTCAGTTCTATTTCCTCATTAGCTTGTTAAAATGGTATTAAATCATTCTGTTTTGTGATACCCCCATTCCAAAGCTAAACCCATACATTTGTCAGATTTACAGTTTTTAGCTCTTTAAGAACAGGTTTTGGAATTCTTTGCAGTTATAAGAGGCTAACAACAAAAGGCTACTTATATTGTACCCTCAATGCATTACTGGTTTAGATTATATGTGTAACACATATAAAATATATTACATTTTTGGCCTCAAGTAGGTGCCCAGTAAACAATCTGCAATAGAATAAGTAAGCCCATTTTGGTTAATAAAATCCAGCTAGACGCTGGAGTTCCAAACATGACTATATTCATCGGATTGCAAAGTTTTAAAGATTAAGAGACAACCAGACTCCGACAGGGAAGAAAATTAAAAATGACTATTGCTTAACTGTCTCTAAATCATGTGTCTTCTGAGGTTGCCTGTCCATTCATATTTAGATAAAACAACCCTAATTTGAATTGTTAAAACAACAGCTGTTAATAAAACAGTTGTTTTACTTGTGCTGAGAGGAGTTTTGTGCCCTCTATTTCTAAGGTTTCTTGGAAAAGAGGATTAAAGATTGCTACTTCATTCTCACTTTTGTCCATGGTTGATTCTCTGTCTTTGCTGACCCATTCATGCCTGTGTGCTCCTTGTAGTTAGTGTTTCCTTTGCTTTCTTTAATCCCAGATAGTTCCTTCATTCCTCAATGTCACATATTTTGGGTAGTACTCTTGTTACTGAATATTTGAGGTTGAGAGAATAAATGTAGCACAAACAACTTAAATTTGGAGACCTCTGTTGTTTTATCTTGCTTTATCAGCGTAGCTGCCTTTCTCTCTGGTCTTCTATAATCTTTTCTCAAAAATTTTCCTCTTGGGGCTGGGAAGGTGGCTCAGAGGTAGAGCGCTTGTCTTGCATGCATGAGGCCCTAGGTTCGATTCCTCAGCACCACATAAGCAAAAAGAAAAAAGCCAGAAGTGGCGCTGTGGCTCAAGTGGTAGAGCGCTAGCCTTGAGCTGAAGAGCTGAGGGACAGCGCCCAGGCCCAGAGTTCAGGCCCCACGACTGGACCCCCCCCCCAAAAAAAAAGAAAAATGTTTTTTCACTTTTCCAGAGCAACATAGCAGTTAACTTTTCCCTTTCTGACAAACAATATTATGAATTGAGCTGTTGACTTGCTTTCAAATGATTATTTATGGGCAATTGCTCACACTTTTTATACTTCTCCAAATCCAGTACAGAGAATATTTGTGTGCAACATTGTAAATATTTTTGGCAGAAGTTTTCCTTCTAAATCAGAGTGAGCTTGAGATGCTCAGCAGATATGCATCAAATCTATGTCAAACCTGTTTAAATCACTAGCATGTTTCTGAAAGTAGCAGGAGCCATAGATGACTTGTGGCTGAATATTGAAGAGAGTTCCACATCTTGAGCACTGACAGGAAGTTCTCTTTATTCCTTGCTCTAGTAGCTCTAGCTGAGTCAATTATAAGTTCTACTTGCTTTGTAGCCTCTTTGCAGCTGCTTATCATGGCTTATGTATAGGTCTGACTTCAGATATATACCATGATCTAGACCAGTACTTGAGTCTGATGGTTGGTAAAGGAGTCTTGGCAATTATAACAGGGTAGCACCAATATCACCAATATTGGCACCACTCTGACAGGAACTGGCTTCTAGTCCCATCTCTGCCCTGACTTGCATTCTAATCCTGGTCAATGTTTGGGCCATATGTAAAGTGAGAGAATTACCATATATTATCATTAGTATTTCTTTCAGATCTAATGAATTTGTCAACTATAATAGCCACATCATTATGAATTAATGAATAAATTTAGACATACAACATACATATATATTATATACATATTTATAATGATGATGATGATGATGATATATGATATTTATTAGGCAATTAACTACCTGACAGGAACTTTCTAAATGCACATATAGAATATCTCAGTTAAGGGGCTGGGAAGGTGGCTCAGTGGTAGAGTGCTTGCCTTGCATGCATGATGCCCTGGGTTTGATTCCTCAGCACCATATAAGCAGAAAAAACCAGAAGTGGTGCTGTGGCTCAAGTGGTAGAGTGCTAGCCTTGAGTTGAAGAGCTGAGGGACAGTGCCCAGGCCCAGAGTTCAGGCCCCACATGGACAAAGAAAAAAGAATATCTCAGTTAACATTTAAATATTAATATGAAAGTCTATTTGTGGCTGAGTGGTAAAGGGCTGTCATAACAAATGTGTGTGTGTGTGTGTGTGTGTGTGTGTGTATGTGATACACACACACACATACATACATACATATATATATGCCAGAAGACCTGAGGCTTGAACAGAGTTCCTGAGATCTTTTGCTCAAAGCTAGTGCTTTACCACTTGAGCCACAGATCCACTTCAAGCTTTTTGGTTGTTAATTGGAGATAAGAGTCTCACAGACCTTGTAGCCCTGACTGGCTTTGAACAGTGATCTTCAGATCCTCAATCTCAATTCTCTGAGTAGCTAGGATTACAGGCATGAGCCACTAGTGCCAAGCCATATGATATGTTTTTATATCCACCAAGTAGTTACCCTCATAATAGGCATGCTTGTTTTACATAACATTAAGCAAATAAAAATATATAATAGGAAAAGTATCAATATGATAGATAATGTTCAGAAACTGACTGAGGTACTTACTTTTGTTTTTAAGTTCTCTTAAATGATGGCTATGAGAATCTTGGATGTTATCTACATCGGGGCATACTGTATTCACATTTGAAACTTTGGAATTTGGCAATTTGTGACTTTGAAGCTGTTATTTCTCTAGAAAGGTATGCCCCTTTTTCCTGTTGATTTCACTTGAATGAAATTAAGGTAAAAATTTTCTTCTCATCCTTGATAACTTATTAGAAAGCAAGACTGTAATTATAAAATTATACTAGAATTAGAATATTACTGAAAATAAGGTAGTGCTAAAATGAAATTAGTTTGTTTCCACTGATTTTAAAGATTTTAGAGATTCAATGGGTTTGAAAAGGCTAAAATCCATGGATAAGTCAGTAAATTATTAGGAGTTTGAAGATAGGCTAGAGCTTTTTGAAGTTAACTTACTAAAAAATGTAATCAAGTTTTGAAATTAATGACAAAACATGCTACCTGATATCATTTCTGGATAGACAATACAACTCAACAGAAGGGAAACCCCCATTTTTGAACACCTGATTTCATTTTGTTTAATAAGAATTAAGCATGATAGAAAGCCAGGTTGCAAAGCACAGAATTTAATTAAATATTTCCTCTTACTTCCAATTATGCATTCATTAAAATGGAAGTTGTCAGAAAGAGTAACCAATTATTCTTATATTCCATGCTAACTAGTAGATTGATTTCTTAGCTATCTAAAGGGAATGTTGAGTTTGTTTCAGTCAATCATGGAATAATGCTCCATTAAAAACCATGGAAAAACTTTAGGAAATTTTGGAGTCAGGAAGAAAAAAGAAAGAATTTCAGATACAAGGATTAGAAAGTAGGTGATAGGAACTTTGATGTCCCAGGTAAAGAATCTATTGGAAATGTAATTTCCTTATCTTGAAATAGAAGAATTGAACAAAATAATGTCTAAGGTCATTCCCATTCTAAAAATTGTTTGATTTTATAGAGGAAAACAACCTTTATTTGATATAAAAAGTAGCCATGTATAGTTTTTTCTTTCTTGCTATTGTTTTTAACATATTTATAATGTACTATGTAATTTTTTTGTTTCTTTGGTATGTTCCTCCCCCATGGTATAACCCCTGTTTTCATTGTATTTGATTCCAGTGCCCTGCATTTTGTATATACATTTTTCTGATTTGGGAGGGGAAGGGAAAAAACAAAATGCTTAAATAGGGATACAGGTTGACCCATTGTAACAATGAGATGTACAAGACACGATGTTGAAAATGAACTTTACAACTTCGGCGAGGGGGAGGGTGGGAGTAGTTGGGGGATGGGGAAGGAAGGGAAAGTAGGGGAAAAACAAAGGAGGAGGTAACAATGCTCGATAAAAAATGTACTCATTACCTTACTCATGTAACTGTAACCCCTCTGTACAGTATTTTTACAATATAAAAAAGTAGCTGTGTAAATGCCAATGTGGAGAGAATGTTTATCCCCCAACTCCTAAACCATAGAATATTACTATTTTTTTACTCTTACTCATGGCCTGAGGCAAAGAAATTTGAGTTGAAGGAAATATCTTGTAATTCAAGAAACTCAAGATTACATTAAAGAAGAGTAAAGAATTACTGAGACTGGGAGACCTCATAAATTCTGTTGACATAGACTATGATTGTTATTTTTTTCTAAGGATTTTATAAATGGTGTTTATAATAAGGAAGTACAGAGCCTGCCATTGAGAGCTCATGCTTGTAAGCCTAGCTATTTAGGAGGCTGAGATCTGAGGATCATGGTTCAAAACCAGCGCAGCGAAGAAAGTCTGAGTCTCTGATCTCCAAATAATCACCAGAAAACTGGAAGTGGAGCTATGGCTCAAAGTAGTAGAACACTAATCTTAAGCACAAATGCTTAGTGATAACTCCTGAGCTTTTTGAGTTTAAGCTCCACGATTGAAAAAAAAAAGTGCAGTAAACTAATTTACATTGCCTAAGTGAAACATTAAAAACACCTTGATATATATTGATGCATCTATTTCATTAGGATTATTCATAATTTGGAATCATAAATATTTTTAACAAGATTTTCTTTCTCATTTTCTATTTTTAGAGCTATTACTTTGCCTTATATAAACATTGGCCTCATACATCTGCTTCACCTGGACAACTACACTCAAGCCATTTGGAAGTTTTCCGAAGCTATTAAGATTGATTCTTTGAATATTCAAAGCTATCTTTGTAGAGCAGAAGCCTATCATAAGGTATTTAAGGTTTGAGAATCTTGGATTTTTAAGGAAATGTAAGCCAGATGCTGATGGCTCACACCTGTAATCCTACATACTCAAGAGGCTGAGATCTGTAGGACTATACTTTGAAACTAGCTTAAAGAGCAAGTCACTGGAGAGTTCATCTCCAAAATTCCCAGCAAGAAGCAAGGCTGGAAGTTGGATTCAACTGGTAGAGCACCGGCCAAGTAATCCTTATAAGTATAAGGCACTGAGTTCAAATTCCAGTATTGCCAAAAAATTGTATTTTGGATATTTGTTCAAGGTAATTTCTGCTGTACTAGTGTATTAATCTCTTTAATAGCAGTAGAAGCAAATGGATTTACGAACAACAAAAGCTAAACAGATAAAGTTAAGTATAGTTACTTACAAAACTTCTAATGATGTGTGCATTTTAATGTCTTTCAGTTTTACAATAATATAGTTCCTGTTTAATCCTTATTACCAAAGCAATAATATTTATTGCAGATAATGTCTTCATGCAAATAATAGTGAGCATTAAATAAGTTAATGAAAATTAGCAAATTAAAAACTGTCCATAATTTTATTCTCTGGGAATTGGTACCACTAAAATTTTGGGATCTGTCAGAGTGTGTGTGTGTGTGTGTGTGTGTGTGTGTGTGTGTGTGTGTACGTGTATGTGTATACTGCCGGGTGAGTGGGTTCACAGAATGGGATCAAAATCCATTAATATTTAATAGTTTATAGTTACCTAAATTAAAAATGTATAATATATCCTTATTGTAAAAAATCAAACAATTCAGTAAAACCAAGTGTAACTAAATCTGACTTCATCTCCAGCCCTCGAATAGACACTGCTTCCCAACTGCTCATCACTAATTGCCCTGTCCAAGACACAGCCGTTCCCTATCAACACTGCTGCAACCCCCTCCTAGTCTTCTTCACTCTTGTCTTTACTGCTTTGACAGAATTGCAACACAGCAGACTCCATCCTGTCAAAGCACAGGTCATTTTACTTTTGTGCTCAAAAACAGATGATTACTTTCTTTGACACTTAGAATAGAACCAAAATTCAAGTCCTATAGGTAACCACAGAAGGTGGCTCCTCATGACCATTCAATGCATTTCCTGAAAGCCCTCTAGATGTACTGATTCAAGTCCCAACAGACTTGGTTACACTGTAGTAAAAAAAAAAAAACACCAAAACTTCAAAATCACCTTACTAAAACACCAAAAGACTTATTTCTTGCACATACTACATGTGCGTAGAGGATCGTCTGGCAGGTCTCTCCTTCATTCTCTGCATCTTAGAACCCAGTGTGACTAGAGTCCTATTAAGTTCTTAACTTCCAGAGGATGGAGAAACCCAGCATAGGCTCAGTGTTGCTCCTATGGGATTCTAGCTCTTGGTCCTTGGGAAAGACATGGGTATAACTGTAGTATGTAGGTTTTTTTTGTGTGTTAATCTAACACTGTTGAAGAACCTGAGCCCATTTAGGGACGTTGGTTTGATTCCTATGCAATCCTAGAAACCAATTCACACACTCATCATCCTAGTCAGATGCGAGGACATATATTCAAAGGCACTTTGTTCTAAGAGGCAAACATCTCTCCACAGTAATAGGTGAATACAGTCAGTAAAAAGAATAAACAGAACTATACTAGGTGATTTGAAGGAATTTCCATGAGCTATTTTTTTTGTGTGTGTAGGAAAAGCAAGATTTAGGAAAGGGTTGAAGTGTATATGATATGATCCCATGTAAAAGTTATAAATCAAATCCTGTTCATGTATATATGAGAGATGACATTCATCTACTCGTGGGGATTTAACTACTACTGAGAATCTAATCTATGGATGCCTGGAGAGAAAGTTTATAAATTTAGAGTGAACCTAGTTTTTACTTAATGCATGGATGTGGACAGGTGGTAGAACAGGACAATTTACACTATATCTGCAGGTACTACTTACTTCCATGTATAAATATGAACTTTACAAAAGAGAATAATATATTCATATTTTGCTTCATCATCATGATGTCATTATATTTAGAAGAGTGGTTGGTTGTTCCAGTTTAATTTTGCTGAGTTTTTTTAGTACTTCTCTGGTAGTAGTAGAGTTTTGTCTTTACCTGTGTGTAATCAGACTATGTTTCAGTGACAATTATTGAACATCTACTTCTCATTGTATATTGATGCTAAATATATCTTTTTATATAAATTTTTTTCAGTTGTGGGGCTTGAACTCTGGTCTTCAGTGCTGTCCCTCAGCTCTTCAGCTCAAGGCTAGTGCTCTACCACTTGAGCCACAGTGCCATTTTCAGTTTCCTGGTGGTTAATTGCAGATAAAAGTCTCACAGACTACTTTCCTGTCCGGGCTGGCTTTAAACTGTGATCCTCAGATTTCAGCCTCTTCAGTAGTTAGGATTATAAACATGAGCCACCAGCACCCGGCTTTTTCTCTGTGTGTGTGTGTGTGTGTGTGTGTGTGTGTGTATGTCTGTGTGTGTGTCCGTGTTTGTATGTGTATGTATGTACCAGTACTGGAGCTTGAACTCAGATCCTCTAGCTCTTGCTTAGGTTTTTCCACTCAAGGCTGGCACTTGAACATTTGAGCCACACCTCACATTCAGCCTTTTGCTGATTGATGGGAGACGAGTCTCTTGGATTTGTCTGCCTTGTTTGGCTTTGACCCTCAATACTCTTAAATAACTAGACTTACAGGCATGAGTCACTGGGACCTGGCTAGATCATTCTTACGTTTTCTTTTAATCATTATTTTGCCTACTTTTTCCATCAAGACGGGAGCCTGGTCCCTGTCCCCATTTGTTTTCCCAGTGGAATTAACTTTTACTTTATCTTCTTTTGCATATGGGCTGATTAAAGATAACTGAAGTTTGGTGAAAGAGGCACTATAGTTGAGTGAGAAAAACTGAAAAAAAACCCAGAAAAAAGAGCTCATACAAACCAGAATATGTAACATAATTATATTCATGTAAAATGATAATTAAGTAAGTGTATATATAATCATTCTTCTGCTTTCATTTCTCTATATCCTATTAGCTTTGATAATTTTAAAGAAAATCCTCTGTATTAGATATCTCTGCAAAATAAAAGGTATAGTGAAATGTGGGAAGGGATAAGGATCAGAAAGAAAGAAATTAGTTTTATTAGAACCTGTTTCTATTTATCATTTAACAGTTACATAACCTGAGTAAGGCAGTAAGGGAGGTATCTCGTGTTATTCACCTTCAGCCAGATGGAATCCAGTTCTACATAATAAGGTATGAGAGTAGGCATCGGATTGTTTGGGGGATAACAGCATCTGCATAAGCTACTGGGATTGTTTATTCTCCCTTTTACTCTCCCTTACTATTCCAGTCTCTTCATTTTATGCTTAATCTGCAAGAAATACTCCATCTTCCAACATATACCTCCAGTTTGTGATAAAATTGAGATAATTTATTATATAAGATAACTGGACCTTTCCCTTTGCTGTATCTTTACATCAGAACACCACTGCTGACTGTTAGTTACATTTCTGAGGCCTTTCTAGATGGCTAGTTATCTATCAAGTATCTCATGATAGTAAGTGAGATAAATACATTTTCAATGTCAGCTGTGATTGTGTCCACAGGGATACCCAACTGTCAACTAATTCAGCAGAAAAAGGAATGATACATAGAATAACAAATTTAGTAGGTGTTGCTATTTTTAAAAAAAAGACCCTTTGCAAGTTTTTGCTGCCAAAAATATAATCTCTCAGGATTAATAGACCTAGACATATAGAATGGAATGAATGCTTTCTGATAAAGGCTTGCTTTTGTGTCACATTTTAGAATTGTACGTAAATACGTTTTATTTATTTATTTACTTACTTACTTATTGTCGTGGGGCTTGAACTCTGGGCCTGGGTGCTGTCCCTCAGCTCTTCAGCTAAAGGCTAGCACTCTACCACTTGAGACACAGTGCCACTTCTGGTTTTCTAGTGGTTTATTGGAAATAGAGTCTCACAGACTTTCTTGCCTGGGCTGGCTTTAAACCACATTCCTCAGATCTCAGCCTCCTGAGTAGCTAGGATTATAGGCATGAGCCACCAGCACCCAGCTATAAATACATTTTAATGTATTTAATGTTCCATAAACTTTACTTTTAAATGATTTCTCAGCAATCAAGTACAACAATTTAAGCATAGATAGGTGCAAAAAAGATGTCTGAATATTTTCTTCTCAGTATTGCATTTCTTAAATTATTTACCATAACATCATTTTGATTTTTTTATGCTTCCATATGCAAATATGAATACATTATAATCCTAAAATATTAAGCAATTGATTATAAAACATTTGATTTTAGAAAAAAATGTAGCTGCTTAGAATAAAAAAGCTACTGTTTCTTCCAGAGGACAATACCTTCTTACAATGAAGTGTTATGATCTTGCAAAATTCACTATTTATCAAGTGGCAGAAATGAACAAAGGTAAGTATAACACAAGGATTAAAATTGTTTTAACTTAATAAATACTTCTTCAAAAATTTCTACTCCCTGTAATACCTATGTATTAACAACACGAAGAGTTCACTTGACAGTTTCTAAAGTTTGTGTGCATCGTCTGATTCATAGTATAGTGATTTTGTTGCAAACTTACAGTTTTACTTTTTTGGTTTGTGATGGGAATGCCCAAAAAATATTTTTGGTAGTAAATATGTTTCAGTATGATATGGAATGCTATGACATTCTTAAAATAATTCTAATCTAAATTCTCAATACTTGGTAAAGGCACTGATAAAGTTTCTTTCTTTCTTAGGTGCCATTGAATTGAGTCCCATACAGCAAGCACTCATTTATTCATTTTGTGAAAATCATGACAAAGCCATTCAGGTCTTGAATGGGATTGTGTGGAATAAACCAGAAGTCACCATGTATTCCTTGTTAGCAAAAGCCCAAATGAAGGCTAGGAAAATCAAGGTGAAAAGTCTATGATTACTGTTTATTAGATCAAGCAATGGAGCAATAATAGGCTGTGCTTAGCATATGGCATTTAAATATTATTGTCACAAAATGACACGGTGCTTTTAACGTATGTATGTGCTATTTATTTTTACTCATACCTATTATACTGAGGCTGGGAAGATGGCTCAGTGGTAGAGTGCTTGCCTTGCATGCATGAAGCTCTGGGTTTGATTCCTCAGCACCACATAAGCAGAAAAAGCCAGACGTGGCACTGTGGCTCAAGTGGTAGAGCATTAGCCTTGAGCTGAAGAGCTGAGGGACAGCGCCCAGGCCCAAAGTTCAGGCCCCCGGTGACTGGCAACCCCCCCCAAACAACAACAACAACAAAAACCTATTATACTATTTATTTGTTTTTTTATTAACTAACACTCAGGTTATTTCATTTCTTCTTCTTAAGACAGCAACTGCTCCAAATATTCTGTTCCATATCTTTTATTAATGAGTATCATCATTTTTTAAGGATATATTCCTGGAGTGGAATTGCTCGTATGTAGATAGGACATATTTTTCCTTAGGTTTGTTAGAACTTCCTCTCCCCTCTGCCAGCATATAAGGGTTTCTCCATCCTCTATGATAAGTGGAATTAGCAGACTCTTATCTGATTAAAAATGAGTTTCGCTTTCTTCGTAGATCTTCTTTCTCTGTTTGAGTATCAGGATGAGCATCTTTTAATTTTTATCAGTTTATCAGTCACTTGTGTTTCCAGTTCTGTCTATACACATCTATATTTGTCTTGTACTTCTTGATTTTTGGCATTTAAGAAATTCTGTTTACTAATGCTTGCTTGTGCACCCATATACCTTCTCATCATTTGTGGCTTATCTTTTTATTGTCTTGTGTCTTTGGTATATGCTTTTTTTCTTCATGTATGATGGTTTTTAGTGCTTGAACTCACAGCCTGGGTACTGTCTCTGAGCTTCTGTGCTCAAGGCTAATCTTCTACCACTTGAGCCATAGCTTTACTTCTGGAGTTTTTCTTGCTTAATTGGAGATAAAATCTCACAGACTTAAACCTATCTGGGCTGGCTCTGAACCATGATTTTCAGATCTCATCCTCCTGAGTAACTAGCATTAAAGGTGTGTGCCACTGGTATCTGGAGTCTTAATTTTTATGTTGTTAAATATATTTATTCTTAGTTTTATGGTCAGGACTTTGAACCATATTATGAACTTTTCTATGTTGAGATCATTAAGATATTATGCTATATTTTCTTTATAAAATATATTTTTATTATAAAGGATGCACAGAAGGGTTACATTTACATAAATCAGGTAATGAGTACATTTCTTTTGGGACAGTGTCACCTCTTCCATTGCTCTCTCCTAGTGTTTCCCTCCTATTTCCACCCACAAGTTATATAGTTCATTTTCAACATAGTGTCTAATGCGTATCACTGCTGCATTTATTCACTTTTGTCCCACCATATCAGTGCCCCCTATCCCTTCATAGATGAACTTAGTAACAAGACAAAAGGTAAAGAAAACAAAATGTCAACAGATAAAAAAAGCTCTCTTGTTTCCATTTCTTGGAGTTCATTTAGATAAATATTATTTTATATGATCATATGCACACATGCCTTTGTGATCCTTTCCTAAGAATATCTTCTTGGGGTCTAATTGTGAATGTTTAGAAACCTGTACAATTTATCATGTCCCAGTGTATTTTTTGTTGTCTACCATCTAGTGTGTTTGCTTATAGATTTATAGGCATATTCTAGTTACCACAAATGAGGGAAAACATGCAGCCTATGTTTTCTTGGGTCTGGCTTATTTTGCCTAATGTAAGTTTTTCTAAGTCTTTTCATTTCTTTACAAATGGCACAATATCATTCTTTCTGATGGATGAGTAGAATTCCATTGTGTGTATATGCCACATTCTCTTGATTCATTTGTCTGTACTGATTCCGTATCTTGGCTATGGTAAACAATGCTGCAATGAACATGGTTGTCTGGTAGTGGACTTGTTTGTGGTCTATGGATAAATGCCCAGGAGTGGAATTGCTGGGTCATAGGGAAGCTCTGGAAGTTTTAAGTTTTTCTTTTTTTGGGGGGGGGGTCCGGTTGTGGGGCCTGAACTTGGGTCTGGGCACTGTCCCGCAGCTCTTCAGCTCAAGGCTAGTGCTCTACCACTTGAGCCATAGCACCACTTCCGGATTTTTTCTTTTTGCTTATGTGGTGCTGAGGAATCGAACACAGGGCCTCATGCATGCAAGGCAAGCGCTCTACCACTGAGCCTCCTTCCCAGCTCCAAGTTTTTCTTTTTTGATTTAAGACTGTAAGATGATTTTTAGGGGGGTGTAGTTGAGGAGGTGGGAGGGAGAGGATATTAGGGGAAAAATGAAGGAGGAGGCAACAATGCTGGACAAGAAATGTACTCATTACCTTGCTTATGTAACTGTAACCTCTCTGTACAGTATTCTCACAATAAAAAAGTATTTAATAAAACAGGTGATTTTTAAATTGAATAATATCTTTAAGTTTACATTAAAAACACCATAAAATTTGGTATATTGTGGGGTACCATGAGATATTTTAATTCATGTATATATTGCATAATGTTGACATTTCTTTATGGAGAAAATGCTCAAATTTTTCCAGCTTTTAAAAATGAAATAATACATTATTATCCATACTGTTATGCTTTTGTGCAATAGGACACCAAAATGTCTTGATCGCATTTAACTGTATTGATCAATCTTTCTCCATCTTTCTCCTGCCCCTTCTTTTTCTCAGCCTCTGGTAACCAGCATTCCATGTTCACCTTCTATGAGATCTATTTTCTTCTATTCCAAATATGAGTGAGATTATGCAGTCCACTTGAGCTTATGCCCCTGGCTTAGTACACTTAGAATAATGCAAATTGTCAACCTTGTACTAACATCTTTAGAAAGACAGTATTTTGTTACTCTACTCATTTCCAAGAGTTTAAGAAAATACAGGTGAATTGCTGGTAGGTCACTCCTGTAATCTTAGCAATTCAGAGGCTGAGATCTGAGAATCATGGTTTGAAGCTGTTCTGGGCTGGAAAGTCCATGAGATTCCCTCCCCCTGCCCCATTTTATTTATATTTAAGTAGTTGTACAAGGGAATAGTCATTTAACAAAGCAGTTTGTGAATACAATATATCTTGATCCATGAGACCTTTTCCCCAATATTTTTGCTCCAGTTAAGCATCAGAAAGTGGAGCTCTGGCTGATGTGGTTACTAGCCTGAAACAAAAATCTCAGGGACAGTCGCCCTGCCCCCAGTTCACACACACACACACACACACACACACACACACACACGCACCCACGCACGCGCGCACACACGCACATACCACCACCACCACCACCACCATCATGACCACACCAAAAACAAACAACAACAACAAAAAAAGAATTTGAAGTGAAAGTGTGCCCGTGTTCCTTTGAACATATTGGGAATAGGCATTCCTTTCATCTCTTTTTTTTATCCTTATAGGAAGCTATAAAAATGTTTAAGAAGGCATTGGAAATGTTTGTCCTTTCTGATAAAGATCCAAGTGCCGTAGATATTTCAGCAGACTGTCTGTATCACCTGGGTATTTGTTACATGGAAGAAGGCAACTTACAAATGGTATTGTGTGTATTTAGAATCAGTGATTATTATGTTTTTAGAAATTGGCTGCTTTCATTCAGTTCTGTTTCTGATCACTACATAGGCAGTACCAAAAGTGACTGGACCAAAGGTGCACTAAAGCTCTGCCCCCTATAGTCAGTCTGCATCTACAGTTTCTATGTTTTTGTTTTTAATTTAAGCAATACATTTCATTTGATACTTTTTGCACAACATTTTAAAGATTAGTATGTGTTTTCTACCAAAAGAACCTAACTGTAGGAAATTTTTATAGAAAAAACATTTTCACTGCACTGATAGGATTTACTAAATTTTAAGTAAACCAAGTGCTTCAATATGCTATAGAATAAATGGGAAATGATAAGGATATTGTTTGATTTTCATTAATAACTCAAACCATCTTGACAGATGACAAGATTCATGGAAAATTTTTATCATTTTACTGTTCTAAAATTTTCTAACTATATATCTGCTATAATTCTTGTCTATCATGGAAAATGAATCTTGCTGGTTGTGGCTTCTTTAAGGAAATAAAATCCAGAGTTATAATTAAATGATACCCCCAAAGCATTGAAATCTGACAATGTTTTTTCAAGATGTTAATTTAGAAAGAAAGAGAACTTTAACTATAATAAGAAACCTGACATTTCTAAACATTACTTTTGTTTGCTCCACAAAATTCAGTGAGAGTATGTTTTATATGATCAAAAAGCCAGAACCAAAATCAAAAACAGAGTGAGACCTTCAATAGTAGATATATATGATAGATTACCAAACTTTCAAAACAATATATCCTATTCACTAAGTGGATTATACTTTTAACAATATACTCTTCCAGGCTTTTGATTCTTTTACAAAGGCTGTGAAAACAAATCCTGACTTTGCGGAAGCCTTTTATCAACGAGGACTTTGTAAAATAAAACTCCAGAAGGATAACTCAATTATAGATTTTAATCGTGCAATTACCCTCAACCCCAAACATTACCAGGTATTTGAATAAATGATACCAGTGATGTAAAATGTATGTTAATTTTCACAACACTACTAAGTCTTTTATATACCATTCATGGGGAATAGCTTGTTACTTATACCTACTTTTCAGCTAACTGTGTTTTGATAATCCAAACGTTTGTATTTCTCCTTGAACTATAAGTCTTATTTCTAGGATTAAAGACATGGCTCAGGTAGTATAACACCAGCCAAGCAAGCAAGCTGAGCAAGAACAATAGTGCTGTCAGTTCATACTCCAGTACTATCAAAGAGTATTATTTCTAATGGGGAATTATTTCTGGAAATGATTTGACATTATGAAATATTTACATATATTGCTAGTATATCAATTGTTCTATGAAATACTTTTGGTGCATATATTTTTAGTATTTTTTCTATTGCTTTTGATATCACATTGGATAAATAGACTGTGGAGACAACACAGAAGTAAATACATGAAATTTGGTGGAGACTCATTTTTAAAAGTATGTGATACTCCAGTGTGTTTACTTGTAGATTTATAGGCATATTCTACTAATAGCAAACTAGGGAAACCATCCAGTCTATGTTTCTTTGGGTCTGGCTTACTTTGCTTAATATAATTTTTTCCAAATCTTTCCTTTTCCTTACAAATGGTACACTTGGATGTGATAAATTATACAGGACTCTAGATATTCACATGGTGAGACCAAAGGAAGATATTCTTAGGAGAGGGTCATAAAAGCTCAATAGCCATATACATATGATCATATAAAATGATGTTTATTGAAATGAGCTCCAAGAAATGGAAATGAGTTTTTTTTAAATATTTTACTTTTTCTATCCTTTGTTGCTATTTTTGTTTTCTGTACCTTTTGTCTTGTATGTAAATTTATTTGTTTTAGAGAGGGTAAGAGAGAACCCAGAAATGGTGGGACAAAGGGTGAACTAAGGCAGCAGTGATACTACATATAATTTGTGTGTGTGGGGAGGGGGGGGAGGGGATTGGGAGGGAAAAAATGGAGGAAATGAGGGAACAGATGACACTGTTCAAAAAGAATCGTACTCCTTACCTGACTTACGTAACTGTAATCCCTCTGTACATCACCTTTACAATAACAATAAAAAAGTCTGACATTTGAGGTAACTACATCTGAGATGGTTTTAGGAAATGGCTATAATCTTGGATAGTAGTGTGCTTATGTAGGGACATGTGGTTTTTGCCCAGGAGATACATACTGTAGGACACAGGGTAAAGGACCACAATATCTACAACTTATTTCCCAATAGTTCAGGGAAAAAAAAATAGTTAAAACAAACAGGGCAGGCAAATGTTACTAATTATTGGATCTTGATAGGCATTATAAATCCACCCTTATTATGGTGACTGATGCACTGTTATTTCATATGGAATATTTTCAAATGATAGTGAAGAACACACTTTTAAGTTCATTTTGATAGATATAGATTGATTTAAAATTTTATATATTTTGGCAAAACTGATGATTTTACCAACACACGTCTTTCTGCCTTCCTCTTTTCTTTCCCTGATAAGGCATATTTAAGCCGAGTAGCCTTCTACGGTTCTCAGGGAAGGTATGCCAAGGCAATTTTGAATTGTAATGAGGCCATCAGGATTTACCCTCAGGGCGTGCGGGCCTACCTCTACAGAGGAGTTCTGAAGTACTACGGCAAGGTAGGCCCTCCCTGCCTGGTTTACTAAAATTGAGAACTGGTGGATTCTCTGGGTGCTAACTAGAGACTCAATTATGTGATAGAATTACTGTGCTATGAAAGGACGAACTACACAAGATACCTTTTTCACAATGCACCAAAGAAAATCCTTTCCCACAAAAGAAGAATACATTTTTTGTTGCTGTTGTTGTCAGTTGTGGGGCTTGAACTTGGAGCCTGGGTACTATTTCTGAGTTTTTTTTTTCCCCACTCAAGATTAGTGTTCTACCACATTGAACCACAGTGGTTTTCTGGTGGTTAATTGGAGCTGCCCAGTCTGGCCTTGGACCATGATCCTCAGATGTTAGCCTCCTGAACAGCTAGGATTGCAGGCCTGAGCCACTAGTGCCTGACAAGAATACATTTTTGTTTAGTTTTTGTTCTTTGTGCTTATACTAAGGCTTGAACTCAGGATTTTGCAGTCTCACTTGGCCTTGTTGTTCAGGGCTGGTACTCACTTGAGCCACATCTCTACTTTAGCTTTTTGTTGGCTAATTGGAGATAAGAGTCTCATGGAGGGGCTGGGAAGTTGGCTCAGTGGTAGAGTGCTTGCCTTGCATGCATGAAGCTCTGGGTTTGATTCCTCAGCACCACATAAGCAGAAAAAGCCAGACGTGGCACTGTGGCTCAAGTGGTAGAGCATTAGCCTTGAGCTGAAGAGCTGAGGGACAGCGCCCAGGCCCAAAGTTCAGGCCCCCGGTGACTGGCAACCCCCCCCAAACAACAACAACAACAAAAACCTATTATACTATTTATTTGTTTTTTTATTAACTAACACTCAGGTTATTTCATTTCTTCTTCTTAAGACAGCAACTGCTCCAAATATTCTGTTCCATATCTTTTATTAATGAGTATCATCATTTTTTAAGGATATATTCCTGGAGTGGAATTGCTCGTATGTAGATAGGACATATTTTTCCTTAGGTTTGTTAGAACTTCCTCTCCCCTCTGCCAGCATATAAGGGTTTCTCCATCCTCTATGATAAGTGGAATTAGCAGACTCTTATCTGATTAAAAATGAGTTTCGCTTTCTTCGTAGATCTTCTTTCTCTGTTTGAGTATCAGGATGAGCATCTTTTAATTTTTATCAGTTTATCAGTCACTTGTGTTTCCAGTTCTGTCTATACACATCTATATTTGTCTTGTACTTCTTGATTTTTGGCATTTAAGAAATTCTGTTTACTAATGCTTGCTTGTGCACCCATATACCTTCTCATCATTTGTGGCTTATCTTTTTATTGTCTTGTGTCTTTGGTATATGCTTTTTTTCTTCATGTATGATGGTTTTTAGTGCTTGAACTCACAGCCTGGGTACTGTCTCTGAGCTTCTGTGCTCAAGGCTAATCTTCTACCACTTGAGCCATAGCTTTACTTCTGGAGTTTTTCTTGCTTAATTGGAGATAAAATCTCACAGACTTAAACCTATCTGGGCTGGCTCTGAACCATGATTTTCAGATCTCATCCTCCTGAGTAACTAGCATTAAAGGTGTGTGCCACTGGTATCTGGAGTCTTAATTTTTATGTTGTTAAATATATTTATTCTTAGTTTTATGGTCAGGACTTTGAACCATATTATGAACTTTTCTATGTTGAGATCATTAAGATATTATGCTATATTTTCTTTATAAAATATATTTTTATTATAAAGGATGCACAGAAGGGTTACATTTACATAAATCAGGTAATGAGTACATTTCTTTTGGGACAGTGTCACCTCTTCCATTGCTCTCTCCTAGTGTTTCCCTCCTATTTCCACCCACAAGTTATATAGTTCATTTTCAACATAGTGTCTAATGCGTATCACTGCTGCATTTATTCACTTTTGTCCCACCATATCAGTGCCCCCTATCCCTTCATAGATGAACTTAGTAACAAGACAAAAGGTAAAGAAAACAAAATGTCAACAGATAAAAAAAGCTCTCTTGTTTCCATTTCTTGGAGTTCATTTAGATAAATATTATTTTATATGATCATATGCACACATGCCTTTGTGATCCTTTCCTAAGAATATCTTCTTGGGGTCTAATTGTGAATGTTTAGAAACCTGTACAATTTATCATGTCCCAGTGTATTTTTTGTTGTCTACCATCTAGTGTGTTTGCTTATAGATTTATAGGCATATTCTAGTTACCACAAATGAGGGAAAACATGCAGCCTATGTTTTCTTGGGTCTGGCTTATTTTGCCTAATGTAAGTTTTTCTAAGTCTTTTCATTTCTTTACAAATGGCACAATATCATTCTTTCTGATGGATGAGTAGAATTCCATTGTGTGTATATGCCACATTCTCTTGATTCATTTGTCTGTACTGATTCCGTATCTTGGCTATGGTAAACAATGCTGCAATGAACATGGTTGTCTGGTAGTGGACTTGTTTGTGGTCTATGGATAAATGCCCAGGAGTGGAATTGCTGGGTCATAGGGAAGCTCTGGAAGTTTTAAGTTTTTCTTTTTTTGGGGGGGGGGTCCGGTTGTGGGGCCTGAACTTGGGTCTGGGCACTGTCCCGCAGCTCTTCAGCTCAAGGCTAGTGCTCTACCACTTGAGCCATAGCACCACTTCCGGATTTTTTCTTTTTGCTTATGTGGTGCTGAGGAATCGAACACAGGGCCTCATGCATGCAAGGCAAGCGCTCTACCACTGAGCCTCCTTCCCAGCTCCAAGTTTTTCTTTTTTGATTTAAGACTGTAAGATGATTTTTAGGGGGGTGTAGTTGAGGAGGTGGGAGGGAGAGGATATTAGGGGAAAAATGAAGGAGGAGGCAACAATGCTGGACAAGAAATGTACTCATTACCTTGCTTATGTAACTGTAACCTCTCTGTACAGTATTCTCACAATAAAAAAGTATTTAATAAAACAGGTGATTTTTAAATTGAATAATATCTTTAAGTTTACATTAAAAACACCATAAAATTTGGTATATTGTGGGGTACCATGAGATATTTTAATTCATGTATATATTGCATAATGTTGACATTTCTTTATGGAGAAAATGCTCAAATTTTTCCAGCTTTTAAAAATGAAATAATACATTATTATCCATACTGTTATGCTTTTGTGCAATAGGACACCAAAATGTCTTGATCGCATTTAACTGTATTGATCAATCTTTCTCCATCTTTCTCCTGCCCCTTCTTTTTCTCAGCCTCTGGTAACCAGCATTCCATGTTCACCTTCTATGAGATCTATTTTCTTCTATTCCAAATATGAGTGAGATTATGCAGTCCACTTGAGCTTATGCCCCTGGCTTAGTACACTTAGAATAATGCAAATTGTCAACCTTGTACTAACATCTTTAGAAAGACAGTATTTTGTTACTCTACTCATTTCCAAGAGTTTAAGAAAATACAGGTGAATTGCTGGTAGGTCACTCCTGTAATCTTAGCAATTCAGAGGCTGAGATCTGAGAATCATGGTTTGAAGCTGTTCTGGGCTGGAAAGTCCATGAGATTCCCTCCCCCTGCCCCATTTTATTTATATTTAAGTAGTTGTACAAGGGAATAGTCATTTAACAAAGCAGTTTGTGAATACAATATATCTTGATCCATGAGACCTTTTCCCCAATATTTTTGCTCCAGTTAAGCATCAGAAAGTGGAGCTCTGGCTGATGTGGTTACTAGCCTGAAACAAAAATCTCAGGGACAGTCGCCCTGCCCCCAGTTCACACACACACACACACACACACACACACACACACACGCACCCACGCACGCGCGCACACACGCACATACCACCACCACCACCACCACCATCATGACCACACCAAAAACAAACAACAACAACAAAAAAAGAATTTGAAGTGAAAGTGTGCCCGTGTTCCTTTGAACATATTGGGAATAGGCATTCCTTTCATCTCTTTTTTTTATCCTTATAGGAAGCTATAAAAATGTTTAAGAAGGCATTGGAAATGTTTGTCCTTTCTGATAAAGATCCAAGTGCCGTAGATATTTCAGCAGACTGTCTGTATCACCTGGGTATTTGTTACATGGAAGAAGGCAACTTACAAATGGTATTGTGTGTATTTAGAATCAGTGATTATTATGTTTTTAGAAATTGGCTGCTTTCATTCAGTTCTGTTTCTGATCACTACATAGGCAGTACCAAAAGTGACTGGACCAAAGGTGCACTAAAGCTCTGCCCCCTATAGTCAGTCTGCATCTACAGTTTCTATGTTTTTGTTTTTAATTTAAGCAATACATTTCATTTGATACTTTTTGCACAACATTTTAAAGATTAGTATGTGTTTTCTACCAAAAGAACCTAACTGTAGGAAATTTTTATAGAAAAAACATTTTCACTGCACTGATAGGATTTACTAAATTTTAAGTAAACCAAGTGCTTCAATATGCTATAGAATAAATGGGAAATGATAAGGATATTGTTTGATTTTCATTAATAACTCAAACCATCTTGACAGATGACAAGATTCATGGAAAATTTTTATCATTTTACTGTTCTAAAATTTTCTAACTATATATCTGCTATAATTCTTGTCTATCATGGAAAATGAATCTTGCTGGTTGTGGCTTCTTTAAGGAAATAAAATCCAGAGTTATAATTAAATGATACCCCCAAAGCATTGAAATCTGACAATGTTTTTTCAAGATGTTAATTTAGAAAGAAAGAGAACTTTAACTATAATAAGAAACCTGACATTTCTAAACATTACTTTTGTTTGCTCCACAAAATTCAGTGAGAGTATGTTTTATATGATCAAAAAGCCAGAACCAAAATCAAAAACAGAGTGAGACCTTCAATAGTAGATATATATGATAGATTACCAAACTTTCAAAACAATATATCCTATTCACTAAGTGGATTATACTTTTAACAATATACTCTTCCAGGCTTTTGATTCTTTTACAAAGGCTGTGAAAACAAATCCTGACTTTGCGGAAGCCTTTTATCAACGAGGACTTTGTAAAATAAAACTCCAGAAGGATAACTCAATTATAGATTTTAATC